ATCACCGAATCTAGGAATTTATTAGTTAAAGATGGATCAAGATGTGCAGGAGGACAAGGAAATTGGACTAGGAGTCAGGGACCCAAATTCTTTTCCTGGCTCTTATGCTGACTCATGCTGAGGCTTTGGTCAGGTGACATAATCCTAGCTGTGTCCTGGTTTCCTCACCTAAAAAATGAGGCTAATACCAATGAAAACCCTCTTTGTGAACCTCTTTGAGGTATATGGCTAAAATATGGAATAAAATGACAAGTATTATTTGTAATTATTGTAATTACACATTACATGGATAACCAATAAGAAGGGAGGAAGGATGGGTATATTTGGGACTTGGGAGTGCATAATGAACAGTGATTTTTTAATATAATAGTGCCTAGGGATCCTGTCCAACATTGGAGCCCCATCATGGTAGATGCTGTGCATACATATTCTAAGAGACAGTCCCTGCCTGAAAGACTTGATAATCTAAATGGACAAAAAGTGGTGACAGTTATCACAGTTCATTAGACTGAAATATCTAGAGTCTGGCTCGGCATGTCTCCGTGTGTGTGGATACCTAGACTGCTTTGCGGCTCTATCATGGGTAGGGATTTCCACATGTAGAGAGCACTGATGAATTAGGATTTATTGATTCAAGAGAGTGAAACCACTATTCAAATGTTTGTAGAAAGCATACAGAAAAAAGGAGGGAGAATTACTAAAGCAACTCCATTTTCACAGTTAAACATATACTCATATTTTGTACTTTATTCAAAAGTCTCCTTTTTGAAACATAAAACTGAATGGACAACTTTTAACTGAGGATCTAGGGACACTACAAAATGTTCCCTTATATTCTTCTGCGGCTGATTCCCTTTGAGCACCTAGGCAATACATTGGGTTTGGAACAATTCTCAGTGGTATTTTCAAAATCCTCAGGTGGGTGCAGAATGTTTTGGGATTTCTGCTCGTTCTCAGAGAGGTTTTTCTATTAATGGGTTCTGTGGTTTTGATTCAGGATGGTATGCACTTCCTTCTACAAAGATTTCAAAGGTCTTTGTGAGTTCTTTGTCCTTTGTATTGTATAGTTATTAGTCCACTTCTGTTCCTGTTTAATCACCTACCTTTTGTTCTGTTTTTGTAACCCACACGCCTAGTGTGTTTCACTGTCCCATGCAGTGGCACCTAGACCACAGCAACAAATAAGAACAAGAGACCTCTACAGCACGGCCAGAGAAGCAGTTGGCTTTTAGCTCAAAGGGTAGAGGCTCCTATACTAAGTTCCAGAGGTCCCAGGTTTAAATCTGCCAGGTTACACATGGGGGCTGGTCCAGGATCTCAACTGGGTCTCTGAAGCTTGCGACGTGCTTCCTCACCTGGGGGAAATATGTAACCCGCACATCTAGGCTACATCTACACTGCAGGCTTCTTGTACAAGAACTCTTTGCTCTGATGGCTATTTTAGACATAGGGGTTTCTTGCGCAAAAAAACCCTGTTGCCTGTCCACATGTGCCTTTTTGTGCCAGAGCTCTGCACAAAAAGGCTTATTCCTTGTAGAAAGAGGAATAACTCTTGTGCAAAAAGCCCTGTGTTCTTAGGACTTACTGTACTTTTTCTTGTGCAAGAACTCTCGTGCAATGTGGACCCTCTGCAACTTTTTGCTCAAAAACATTTGTTTTTGCACAAAAACTCTGCAGTGTAGACATAGCCTTAGTGTGGATCTTTGTCCCATGCAGTGGTGCCTAGACCATAGGAACAGCTAAGAACAAGAGACCTCTACAGCATGGGCTGAGTGCCAGCTGGATTTTAGCTCAAAGGGTAGAGGCTCCTACGTTAAGCTTAGTGCCAGTTGGATTTTAGCTCAAAGGGTAGAGGCTCCTACGTTAAGCTTCAAAGGTTCCGGGTTTAAATCTGCCTGCTGGTGGCTACATTTTGATCTTACAGGAGCTCCTATTTCTCCCCCTTCTCTGAGGTGTAGACAGGCACATATAAAAATGGTTGGAAAAGACTTGAGAGCGGTCCAGCAAGGGAGTTTAGCTATAATAGGATGTTAACAGGATGTTAACGTGATGTTAACAGGATACAGTCCTCTGTGAAGAAAGGCTGTGGCAAAGTCAGCAGATATTGTGAACTTAGGCCTGGTCTCTGTTAGAGAATCAGTTTGATTCATCTACGTCACTCACAGGCATGACAAATCCATACCCCCAAGTGGTGTGGTTAAGTCGATGTAAATCCTTGTGTAGATTTGGTTGACAGAAAAATTCCTGCATTGACCTCCCTCAGGGCTGCCAACACAGAGAGTGGGCAGCTTTTAAATTGCCACCAGAGAGCTGAGTGGCACGCCCACGGTACACTGAAGGACTGTTGGGGGGAGCCTAGCTCCAGTCCTGCACCTGCTGCCCAAGGCCCATCCCTTCTGGGATCACAGAGCCAGGCCCTTCCCACCTTGCTGACGGGCCCAGCAATTGTCAGCCAGTGTGAATTAGCTACCACCTCTCAAAGACCACCTCTATGACAACTGGAGAATCCGTCCTGCTGTGCCACTGTGTCCTGAGTTTCAGCCAGCTCCACGGGTGATTGCAAGGTGGGTGGATGATAATAGAGAGGAATAGGTAAACCCTGTGCTTAGATGGAATGATTAGGGAAAACACTGCAAGCCTAAACACACAGGTCTATGTCTCCCCGTATGTGTGAAACAAAGGGGATAAGTTAGCTCAGTGCAACTGATTTGCCCATACAAAAGGAACTTGTTCAACTGGAGGAATATCAGTTTTTTTCAACTTCCATCAGGGCATTGCTCCTGTGGGTCATGTTCAGGACATCTCTTTCTCACATGCAAGATCAAAGCCAGTCAAGTGACTTTTAAAAACAATCACATTTTATAACCACTTTGTCATGAACATCCAGACTAACAATAGTAAGAACAAATGGCACAATCTAAAGCTAATCTTATGCAATAGTGTGTTCACTCTGCGCAATATTGATTTCCAGAAAGGTTTTGTCATGAGCCATGCCACTAACAAATATATCGTGCCTCTGACATTCCAGTTGTATCAGATGTGGTCAGCTGTCTTTTATGAAGCCATACCAAAGCCAGTTATGCCCTGTTTATAATGTTGTACTAGATATGTTATTGCATACAATTAGCTGCATTTAAAAAAAATTAAGATTGCTACGTTAAATATTCAGAAGTGAGGAAATGCGAGAATTAAGACTGTGCATTAAAACTCAGTCTTTAATTACATATAAGACTGTCTGTGCATTAAAACTCAGTCTTTAATTACATGTTCATATATTGTATTTTGTACAGGAACCTTGTCTTAGTGCACAAGAGGCACATTTAGCTCCAGACTCCTCTCCAGTCTCAGTCTTCCCTCTTCCACTTGGATTCCAATCCCCCTCCCCTCTTTTCCTCTCTAGCTCCCAGTCCTCCTGCTTAGACAATCTTAGTCTCTCTACCAAATCCCCCTTCTGGCTACAGTTCGTTTCTCTTCTGCATCCTACCTGTCTCCAATCAAAGCCTCCACATACCCCCAAGCTCCTTTCCAGATCTACACCCTTTGCCACCTGCACTAGGTTCACTTGTTCTCCATTCTCCATTTGAGTCAGGAGGCTTCCTTCTCCCTGCTGCACAAACTCCAGCACAAGCACCATGGAGTGTACAGGAAGCATACTTACCCTCCTCTCAAATCAGGTACCCAGCTCCACTGTGGCTTCTAGCAGACAGATAACAATTGCAGGGCAAGTTCTGTTCAAGCCTGATACCCCTGGCTGGAACATGCACAGTTCATCTGGAATCGTTAGAGGAGGATTTAGCTGCCAAACTCTAACTAATCTGGATAGAGCATTTGTAAAATGAGATTTTTGAAAGTCTTACAACTTAGCCTAATTGAGGTGGATTTTCACAGAGATGGCAAAAGACACATTCCTGAAACAAAGACCGTCCCCCTTGTTTCTGGCTCCTGCTCCAAAACATGGGAGAGTTATAGCCTTGAAATAAAAGGATTTTTTTTAACATGGGCAAAACAATATTGTTCTCAGAAATGGCTAAACTGTTTTAAGCTGAAACTTTCCAAAATAATGTAGCCTGAGGTGACACACATTACAGGAAATCTCAGATCAAGAAGTTAGAACTGTTCAGAAAGCAGGAGGACTTGCATTTTTTTCAAGTTTTCCCCTTATAAGTTTACAAAACTTCTATCACCTACATATCTGGTGGGTTATCATAGAAAGTATTCTCCTGATCTATTTTTGTATGCCAGACAAGACAGAATAGCATGAGCAAAGATGATGACAGTCAGAGGTGTGCTAAAGCACTTCTTTTCCTCCTGCAATCGTGGAGGAAACTTGTTTACAGTTTGGCTAGGCTTATTTTAGTAAAGGAATGGCTGCTTCACTGTCACAACACTATTATTATGAGAATCCAAATTCCTGATTTTAAGAGGAATAAGGGATCTTTCGGAAAATGCTTTATTTTCCGAAAAATCCCCGTCTAGACTGGCGCTTTTTGCCGGCAAAGCCCCGAGCCGGAAAAAAGCGGCAGCCATGTTTATGCAAATGAAGTGGGGAAGATTTAAATCCCCGCTTCATTTGCAATTGCGCTGTGTCTAATCTGCATCCCTTTTCCGCAAAAGGGTGCAGTCTAGACACAGCCAACTTGCTTTCACTTTACCTTAAACAAGTATTCTAAATTTTTGGAGAACAGCGAGTCTGTGTACAGGAATATTGTTCCATTAGTCTTTTGTATAGATGCAGAAGTAGAGATTAATGAAAATATTGCAAAATAACAAGACAATGATCTTTACTCACATGCTCTGAAATCAGTGTTCTTTGCTCCATAATAAAAAGCTGCATTTCTACTTAGAAATAATCAAAACAGAATCTGGTTTAACAGTTTCTCCTGTATGGCATTCTCCACTGGTGTACTGAGTTGCTTGTACCTGTAATTATATATATTTGTATGATGCTATTCTCATGTTTAATGTCTACAATGCTGATGCATTTTGCGTTCACTTTTCAGGTCTTATCCCTCTCTGAAGTACTCTGGCCATGCATACTGTTCCTAATTCTCGCTGCAGTTCGCATCCAGCAACCTCCAGAACACAAGGAAAACTGTATGTTTCTTGTTTAATCTCTATGATGTACACATCTGTAGATTACTTTCTAAAGGAAAGAAGGAAATAGCAGTAGGTTACCCTGAATCAAAGCCCATTTACTGCATTCAGGCCCTAGATTTGTTTTGTCTATTGTGTCCGATTGCATCATACAATTGTCTTCCCATGAAATCTATAGTTCTTTCTACTTCCGCCTTTTCAAGCATTACATGACCTGAAATAATGTGGTATATGTTATTGGGCCAGTAGTTCTCAAACTTGTTTGCATTGCGAGCCCAGTCTGACAAAAAAATTATGACATGACTTTCGGACATGCACCACTCCAATCTGCACCACTCCAAGTGTGTGTGTGTGTCTGGGCAGGGAGGAAGCCCAAGGGCTTCAGCCCTGGGCCAGAGGCCTGTAATCTAAGTCCTGTCACCCAGGGCTGAAGGTGAAGCCTGAGCCCAACCTCCCTGGGCTGCGGCACTTGGCTTTTGGCATTGGCATCACGCCTCAGCAAGTCTGTCGCCCCAGAAATCTCATGAAAATGGGGGCTTGTGGTGTGACCCACAGTTTGAGAACTGCTGTACTATGCTGTTTTATTTAGTTGCCGCAGTGGTTTGTAGTTTATAACCCACCTGGAAATGGCATCTTGGATCCAACCCACACATTCTCAACTTCCCTGAAGAGTAATGCAGTCTCATGCCATTTAAAACACAGAATAGAAGATAGAACAAAAGAAACAATGAAAGTCAGCCACACTATGGTATAGGCGCTTACAAAATCTTGTATTAAAAAATGATGTGTAAAACCTGTTTTCTTGTAAAAGCCTCCTGAGACCTGAAACCATGGATTTCTTTCACACGCATAGCTATGCGCTATATAAAAAACCTTTAGATTGAGTGGCATTAATTAAGCCCAAGATCTGATGCAGCATTCCAAATGCTGCATCTGGACTCTTGGTAATTATCTAGTGTCAGCATAAAACCCATTCTCTTTGTCTGATTCATCATTCAATTAAACAGAACATACATCTATACGAACTTTCACCAGTAACTTTGTTTTCACAGTTCTCCAGGTAGACACTGATACTGTTAATAATGGTTCATTCTTGGCAAATGACTGAGACTCATAGTCCCTATGCAATTAGTTTTAACATTGATAATCACATTTATCATTTGAAAACTTACAGTCACAAAATGACATTAACCTTGAAAGATTTCAGCACGTTGCTATGTTTATACAGGGATCATGAATGATCCGTTATGTTCGATATCTTCATCAATGATTTAGAGATGACATAGAGGGTATGATTATTAAGTTTGCAGATGATACCAACCTCGGAGGGGTTGCAAGTGCTTTGGGTTTTAGGGTCAATATTCAAAATGATCTGGACAAGCTAGAGAAATAGCCCGAGGCAAACAGGATGAAGTTTAATAAGGACAAATGCAAAGTACTCCACTTAGGAAGGAACAATCAGTTTCACACATACAAAATGGGAAGTGATTGCCTCGGAAGGAATACTGCTGAAAGAGATTTAGGGGTCATAGTGGACCACAACTTAAACAAGAGCCAACTTGCAAAAAAAGCACACATGATTCTGGGATGCATTAACAGGAAAGTTGTGAGTAAGACATGAGGGCTGTGTCTACACTGCACCCCTTTTCCGGAAAAGGGATGCAGATGAGACAAGTCGGAATTGCAAATGAAATGGGGGATTTAAATATCTCCCGCTTCATTTGTATAAACACGGCTGCCGCTTTTTTCCGGCTTGGGGCTTTGCCGGAGAAAAGCGCCAGTCTAGACGGGATCTTTAGGAAAAAAAAGCCTTTTCCGAAAGATCCCTTATTCCTGATTTTAAGAGGAATAAGGGATCTTTCGGAAAAGGGTTTATTTTCTGAAAGATCCCATCTAGATATTAAAATCCCCCGCTTCATTTGCAATTCCGACTTGTCTCATCTGCATCCCTTTTCTGGAAAAGGGGTGCAGTGTAGACACAGCTGAGAAGTCATTCTGCTCTACTGTGTGCTAATTAGGCCTCAACTGGAGTATTTGTGTCCAGTTCTGGGCACCACATTTCAAGAAAAATGTGGAGAAATTTGAGAAAACTCAGAGAAGAGCAAAAAAATGATTAAATATCTAGAAAACATGACCTATGAGGGAAGACTGAAAGAATTGGGCTTGTTTAGTTTAGAAAAGAGAAGACTAAGACTACCTCTACACTACGCGCTCTCATTTGTGTTTTCTCTTCCTTTCCCTTTTGTGCAAGAGGTTTTTGTGCAAAAAAATGTTGTTTAGATGGTGCCTTTTTGTGCCAAAAAAAACTTTTGTGCAAGAGCCATTCTTCCTCAAAAAGAGGCTTTGCATGCTCCCCCACCCCCAGGCCAATTGCGCTCCTTTCAGGACGGGAGGAGGCTTCTCACACTCCCCCATGCCCAGGCCAATCAGAACTTGGGGGTGGGAGAGTGCACAACGTTTCCTCCATCCTGCTAGGAGTGCACGGCACTTCAAAGTATTATGTGCTCCTGGCAGGGCAGAAGAAACTTCGCGCGCTTCCCCCGCCTCCAGGCCCTAATTGGCCTGAGAGCAGGGGAGTGGCAGGGCCTCTGTGGGCTGGATCAACCCGCTTGGTGGGCTGGATTTGGCCCTTGGAGGCTCTTTTGCCCACCCTAATCTAGACAGTGCTTGGTCCTGCCATGACGGCAAAGGACTGGACTTGATAACCTCTTGAGGTCTACTTGGGGGTGGGAGAGTGCACAACATTTCCTCCATCCTGCTAGGAGTGTACGGCACTTCAAAGTATTACATGCTCCTGGCAGGGCAGAAGAAACTTCGCGCGCTCCCCCCGCCTCCAGGCCCTAATTGGCCTGAGAGCAGGGGAGTGGCAGGGCCTCTGTGGGCTGGATCAACCCGCTTGGTGGGCTGGATTCGGCCCTTGGAGGCTCTTTTGCCCACCCTAATCTAGACAGTGCTTGGTCCTGCCATGACGGCAAAGGACTGGACTTGATAACCTCTTGAGGTCCCTTCCAGTTCCATGATTCTATGAAGTTCTACATGTCTCTAAAGAAGCTAGCACACAGTTGATAGCATTCAAGTTATAGCTAGTCATAAGGAGATAGGAAGTGAAGAATATTTTCTTCAAACTATGAAGCCATTTAAGAAAACTGAGCATAATTACAGGAATTGGCATGTTGCTGGGACAATGTTGTGAAAAGTGCCAGGGGACCTTATAATGCTCATTAATGGGCAGGTTCTTGGTGCTACAACTCCTTAGATTTGCTTGCAAGAGTTGATTTATTTGTATATAAGAAAGAGAACACAAGTATTTCTTATGAGAAGAAATCTTTGTGGACCAAATTTTGCTGTCAGTTACACTTTTGGAAATTAATAGAAATGCCCCATTGAATTCAACAGAGGAACTGAATTTTCATTCGTATAGCCAAGGGCAGAATTTTGTTCTATTGTCTACCGAGTATGGTCCCTATCTTGCAGGCTAATTAGCAAGATCTTGCAAGATCAAGGCTGATATCACTGTCTGAGTAAAATTTAGAAACTGTTGAACTTGTTTAAAAGGGGCACTGTTCAAACTGGCACTGGTTAGACACAACTAGAATTGGGCTTTATGTTTTTATGAAGTGGACTGATACTCTTTCTGTGGAGCTATGTATGGTGTCTCTATCTTGCTTAATTAGTAGCGCTATTTCTAGTGATACACGTCTCAAAAATAATGATAATTCATTTCCAAAAAAACTAGCTTGAGCTTTTTCAGGTAGTACGATATACTTGAATACACAATTTCTCCAGTTCTTCCACTTCTGTTGTGAACATTCAATAGGAATGTTATATCCAGGCCTAATTCAACCTGGGTAACTTCTCGTTGCTATTTGCTACTGTCAAACTGGGGACGTACAGAAGAAGAATGAACAGGTTTCCCAGTTATTCACGAGAGTCTCACTATATTTAAAACAAACAAACAAATACACACTTCCAAATGTGAACCAAGGTATAACTAGTACTTCAGTATCTGCCTGAATTTTCAGAAAGTCTGAAACAATAGTCAAATGCAAATGTCAGCATTGTTAATTATTTCACTGATAATAAAAGCATGGAAAGAAGGTGAGAACAAATTTTATTAGGAGACTTGTACAGTCCAATCTAAATAGCCATTCATCCGGAGTAGGCCAAACACAAACAGACAGTAAGGTTGCAAAGGAGTGTCTGGCTTCATTTTCCTAAAGGAAAATTCAACTTTTAGAAGTTTGAATAACACTGTTGTAGAGTGTCCTTTATAGTGTTAAACTTTCATACTGTACTCCAGACTTGTCTGTGTTTCAGTGCTGCTGCTGGGTGAATCATATGTAAATAGAATGCATGGCGATGCAGTAGAAAGATTTAATTAACATGAGACAGGGATAGCTGCATTACTCACAAATTATTGTGGTAGGTAGAGCTGTGTGGAGAAAGATAAATTTATTTTCCTTCGTGATTTCAACATTTCAAAATTTGGTTTTGTTCTAGTTAGGTTTGAATCCACCAATTTTTAAAATTTTCTGAGACAGGGACAGGGCAGGCCACTTGGTAGGCTGTTCCAGAGCCATGGCCCTTGGAAATCCTGCAGTTTCTATTGTTGAGGTAGTCCACATGACTGGCTGCCCCACAGCCATACACCTCAAACACATGAGATTCCTTGGCTCTGGGGCAGGCTGCATTGTGGGCAGCCCTGACAACATATACCTTGGAAAACTAGACTGCCAATGACCTGGCAGGAAATCAGGCAAGGTTTCCTCCAGAATGTCTGAGAATTTAGCCAGTCTTCACAAAAGGTTCTGTGTTGCAGTGTAATTTTTTCAATGAATTTTATGGGTGAAGCAGTAATATTACTGCTGAAAGCTTCAGCCTCACTGTTGTGATTTTGTCTGCTGTGGCTTTTTAGGTTATTTGGAAGCCCGGGATTTGCCAAGTCGGGGCCTTTATCCCTTTGTTCAGAGTCTCTTCTGCAATGTTGGCTCAAGGTGCAAGAACAGCAGTTACACATCTCAGAAACAACAAGGTTTCCGGTAAGATGCACCAATTTATCAGTGTTTCTGATTAATGGGTCTTTTCCCATAAAAAGGTCATTATTCTTTAGTTGCAGGAATTTGATTACTCTGGGCTGGATTGCCTCCCACACTTTGCTCGGTGAAGGGGAGGGGCACAGCTCCATCTGACCTCTCCTTACATTTTTCATTGTGATTCAGGGGCTGCTATGTTGATTTGTCTAAAAGGGTCAGGGAGGAAGGTGGGGAGACTTCTGTGCTCTTCCCAGCCCTCCCTGCGCTCACACACAACAGTAATGATTTATCTTTCTTAGAAGTTCTTTCAGTACATGTCAAGGAGGCTGTGTCTGGAAGATAGTATTATATTTGCACTTTTGTGTTTTGATTTGTTTGGGTGTGTCTGAGGTTTCCTTGCTATGGAGTACAGTAGGAAGAGAATGGAAATCAAGGACAGGATTTTGAGAGACAACAACAAAGAGCTGAAGAAGGAAACAGGAGGAGCTAAAGGAGAGGTCAGACAGATAAGAAACTCAATAGAGAGTAAAGTCAAATAAAGGAGAGAAAAATCAAGAGAACAAGTAGATTTTAAAGTCGTTGGGGCTCTTTTTGTTCTGTGTTTGGACTGCACCTAACATGAAAGGGTCCAGGAGTAAGGCTCCTAGGTATTACTGCAATACATACAAACAAACAAACAAAGTAATAACCAGCCACAAAAGAACTGAACTTTAAAAAGCTTTCCTGTTTGGCAATAGGTCAATATAGTAGCAAACTTGTAAATCGTTAGTTTACTGACACAAACTGAGAATTATAAATATAAGTGAGAAGGGTGCTTTCTAGATGATGGGACTAGTTTCAAATCACCTTTTTTCAAAGTCATATTCTGGGCAAACTGGACAACTAGGTCAGTTAGTCAGAACACAGTGACTGGCTGTGACTATATAGCCAAAAAAATCAGTCAAGTAGAATGAAGTTGCTTCTGGGTTTCATAGTGAAAAGCTTAATTTTAAAGATAATGTGGAATTTGGCATGGAACAAGTGTAAAGATTTCAGTGTCACAGTAACATGTCACAAATTCCATGTATCTTTTATGTTACATGATGCAGTGTTCATAGTAAGTCACAGTCTACTTATTTGGCAATATGAACAGCTGTAAGTTGTTTAAACTGAATAGTTACTCCAGACTGGTAATTTTCCTCACACAGTGTTTTAGAATGTACAGAATGGAGCCCTGAAATTATAATTGAATGTATATCTCTACCACACAACTCAGTGCTGAAATGACAATATATTATGCCTTGAAATCGACTTTGTATTTAAAAGAAAACACTTTTTTTCTGTTCTGTCTGAGATGAAAAGCTTCTGATATTAAGACATGACACTCAGTAGTGAAATAACTAACTGTGATCTATCTTGATTGTCTGTGCTGCATGCGTATTTGCATAGCTCTGATTATAGTCTCAAAATCGCATCTCAGCTTAGTGTAAAAACAGGAAACGATTTCCTAGAAGCAGAGTTTATTTCATTCTTGAGATTTAATGGGGAATCTAGTGTGATATTTCAAGGATTTCACCAACTAGATTCAGAAATAATATCTGTCTATATGTGTAAAACTCTAAATGTTAGATTTATGGTTGAGAAGCACACAGCTTATTCAAGAGAGAAGGGCAAAAAGTTAAAATAAAGTTCACCCTGGAAACAGTCTATTTCAGGCCAGTCCACCAGAATATGTTAGATCAACCTGAAGGCTTCTCTGAATTCTGCTGGCTGTAAACAGCCTCTAGGTTCCAAGTGCTAGCATAAATGTTATGTAAAGTTTCCTTGTTTGGTTGCATGGCCTAGTTAGTCCTCATTTTTCTGGTACTTATGCTCAAGATATGCTTTTTAACTAAAACAGAAGGTTTAAAGATCAGAAGGCATGTCCAAAGCTACCCTCGTGGCATCTAGTTGGCATATTAACACCATGTAGTCTACATTGGAGCAGGGCTGAACAAGATGTGCCACACATTTAAAATAATATGTGTGGTCTGTCTCAAACATCCAAGAGTCAGAGATCTGGGGACAAATAATTGCAAAAATATATTGTCTTTACAGCAACATGAGAACATGTGTATGTATGTGTGTGTGTGTCCATGCATGCGCACAAACACATTACTTTCATTCCCTAATTCTGTCTCCAACATTACATATTTAATTGTCTTGATGCAAAGATATAGTACAGATACAATATTCGGTATGTATGGAAAAGATCTTCCTCTATGATGAATATGCAGTGAGCTGTATACTAAAATGATGATCTTAGTAACTAAAATAAGTTTTGTGATTTGTGTTTACTGCTGATAGCCTCACAGAAACAATACATCTAGGAGATGGAATTGAAAATAACAGGATTGTTTACTAAATTTTAATCAGGTTAATAGATTATAAAACCAGAAAGGACCACTGATTATCTAGTCTCACTTCCTGCATAAAACAGGCCATGAGACTTTTCTGAATTAATGACTGTTTAAACTATAGCATCTCTTTTAGAAAAAACTTCCAATCCTGTTTTAAAATTAGCCAGGGGTAGAGGTTGTTAATTGCTCTTACTAATACAAAAACAGTGCCTAGTTTGTATTCTGAACTGCACCTACACAAAAACAGGGAAAAACGTGAAAGAAAGGCACAGGTGTTCTGATGCATAATTAGAAGACATTGGGTTTGCACAGCTGAAATTAGAGGCATAATTTGTGTGGCTAGAACATTAATTACTGGTGATGAGGCACAAGGCAAGATTGCAATTTGGTACTCAGAGTTTAGAATGAGTTCTCAGAGCTGCTGGTTAAAGGGAAAAGCTTTACTTGTAATTTGGCTATTTTTATGCCCTGATGGTGCAAACACTGATGCACATAATTAAATTTGCCCTTAATTTCATTGAAGTCAGTGAAACTCCTTACGTCCTTAAAGATAAATGTGTATTTGAGCTGTACTCTGAAAATTCCCCAGAGAAAAACTTATAATCCCCAAATACCTTTTTATATATGTTTTTCAGAGTAGATTGTCCTTGGTGTGAGCATGTCCCTATGTTTGAGTGAAATGTTGACTATATTTTCACTCTATTCTCCAGAAGTTTCTCTGACAATTGTATTTAATGCATTTAAGAGTTTCTCACTTTCTCCTCCAAATGTCCATGTTTGTAGCCTTTAGGGATTGATAGGTGTTTAATTGTTTCAACTTTTGTGGATCCACTTTCAGAATGGAAAAATGCAGATGTTAATCACACAAGCACTACCTCAGCTGAAAAATGTAGTCCCATGTATTAAAACACACTAAAAATAAACCATTCAGTTTTGTTTTTGTGGTAATCCATTCAGTTTTGAAGCAGACAAGAATGGGTCTTCTACAATTCCTTTTGGCTAGCAGGCAAGCTAGAATGAAAGCGAAATTTGGTTAAATAGTCAAAAGCCCAGTGGAAGTTTTATGATTTAATTTTCTACTGGTATAATATCTAAAAATTGTGGCAATGGTGCCTTCCTTATCCACAAAGAATTTGTTTTTGTGGTAATCCATTCAGTTTTGAAGCAGACAAGAATGGGTCTTCTACAATTCCTTTTGGCTAGCAGGCAAGCTAGAATGAAAGCGAAATTTGGTTAAATAGTCAAAAGCCCAGTGGAAGTTTTATGATTTAATTTTCTACTGGTATAATATCTAAAAATTGTGGCAATGGTGCCTTCCTTATCCACAAAGAATTTTGCACATAATAGTCCCTAATAGGCTGATTAGAAGCCTTATCTGAGGCATGTTCTATCAGATATTTTTCATTTGTATGTGGCATATTCTGAATTGATTCAGTTTTGGGGAAAATATTTTCACATATTCAGACACCAACACAAAGTAAAGATTAACTAACTATTCAAAATAGTAACAGAGAAATAGTTGTGTTAGTCTGATCTTGGTAAAACAAAAAAACAGTCATGTAGCACTTTAGACTAACAAGATGGTTAGGTGATGAGCTTTCATGGGGCAGACCCACTTCTTCTGATCATATTCTGAAAGTGAATAGGCATGGTCATTATGTAACAGAGGGATACAATGAAAAAGTAAACAAAATATACAGTAAAGAATCAGATACATAGAATAGAAGGTGGGGGAGGGGAAGGGGCAGTGACAAGGAAGGAGGAAATTGCTTATTGTAAGCATCAATTAAGTGGCTTATCTGGAGTTACTACGAATATTTAAAGGTGGGAAGGCTGTCTTTGTAATGGGTGACAAACCTATACTCTCCTATAGACAACCACCTAACCTCAGGAAGATTACAACCACAGGGCGTACCACGTTAAAACTAACCCTGGAACTTTCCCTTGCAACAAACCCCATTGCCAGCTTTGTCCATATATTTACTCTGGAGACACCATCACTGAACCTAACCATGTCAGTTATACGATCAAGGGCTCATATTCCTGTATGTCCAGCTCAAGGAGGCGCTCTCTACATTAGGAACTATCATAAAAAAGTAAGCCTCCACATACATTTCACCTCTTCAAGACTTTACTACTATTCAACAAACCACCTACAAGGACCACTTCATTTCCCTTCTGAGGAAAAAGGACAATAAACTGTCCAAACTGCTATATGCCTCAGGATCTCTCATAAAGGATACTTTCAACTCACCCAACAACATCATCAGCCTATCTAATCACTCTCTCAGCACATCAGAAGAATCTGTCCTATCCCGTTGACTCTCCATATGCCCCACCACCCTCATAAATATGATTCAGTTCTGTGGGGACCTGGAATCCTATTTTCGGCACGTCTGTCTAAAGGAATATTTCCAACACACCAATATACAACATACTGACCTCACTGCTTCCCCCTCCCCCCCAATCCCACAAGAAGAAGGCTTCTATGTGGACCCTCACCAACGGACATAACAAAAGTCTGGATTTCTACATCGACTGCTTATGCAAACATGCTTGAGCTGATATTACCAGCAAACAACAACATATAACGTACAACCTCAGTCATGAAGAACGCAATACTATTCA